GGAAAAATGGGGAAAAATGGGGAAAAAATGGGGAAAAAATGGGGAAAAAATGGGGAAAAAATGGGAAAAAATGGGAAAAAATGGGAAAAAATGGGGAAAAAAATGGGGAAAAAATGGGGAAAAAATGGGGAAGAATGGGAAAAAATGGGGAAGAATGGGGAAAAAATGGGGAAAAAATGGGGAAAAATGGGGGAAAATGGGGGGAAAATGGGGGAAAGAAGGAAAATGAGGGGGGAATAAAGGGGGTGAATAAGGATTTAATACCTCCCCAAAAATCCCCAAAAACCTCATACAGCACATTCCCAGAGGACAGAAATAATGAGGGAGAAAAGGAGGAAAGGAGAGGGAAAGAGGGGGGAAGGAAAAGGGAGAAGAGGGGAAAGAGGAGGGAAAGAGGAGGGAAAGAGGAGGGAAAGAGGAGGGAAAGAGGAGGGAAAGAGGAGGGAAAGAGGAGGGAAAGTATTTTCATTTTGATTCAAGTAAATAATAGAAAAATAAGTTAAGTTCTTAAGTAAGTGAAGTTTTTAAGTTCCTCAAAAATTACAAGGAAAAATAAAATACCTGAGTGGTCACTCATTAAATTCAGAGATTAAATTAGAAAGGGAGAAGTGCTCTGGGCAGTGTCACCCAGCTCCTGTCCCCAGGGCTGGCTGCTGAAATTATGGAATATTTGGTGGGATGGCATTTCAGTGTCCCTGGGGAAATCCAGAATCCACAGGAACATTTTCTAAAGTGGCTGCAGCTCAGGAGGAGTCGTCAGGAGCACGAGGTGAGGCAGGAAAAGGCTGAGATTTCAGCATGAAGAATATTCCCCCACACAGACTGAGGGTAATGACCCCAAACCCGAGCCCTGGGAAGCAGCTTTATCCCCCAGGGAATTTTGTTATTATTTTTATTGCCATTATGAAGATGCAGCAGGGAAAAAAAAAGAGTTCAATCCAAAATAGGATTGTCATTAAATTCACTGGTGCAATTCCTTTGTAATGTTTGGAACTAAATCCAGCAAATAGCCAGGGAGGGAAGGATTTCAAAGACATTAAAGGTGTTTTCATGAATTCCATAATCCCAGAATCTTTGAAACCTCAAAAAAACCTCCAAAATCACCAAGTCCAGTGATTCCAGAGCCAAGGCCACATCCAGAGGTTTGAAATGCCCCAGAGATGGGGGCATGGGGACATCCCTCCCAGCCCTGGGAAGCTGGAACCCCTTTCCAGGAGGGATTTTCCAGCTGATCCAGGGGCAGGCAGCTGGGAGCTCTGCACCAGGATCCCGACACAACCCCTGGGAATCCTGAGCAGCCAGGTTATTACAAGCCCTGTCATTTCCCAGGGTATTGGATTTTCCTCTGGCTACAGCCAGGCCTGCTACATCAACCAATTTGTCCCTCAGAGCATTAATTGTTTAACATCAGATCTTAAGGAGCTTTCAGCGTGGAGCCCAGCAGAGTTGTGCCCCTAGCAGAAATATCCTGTTTACAGGAAATGCTGGGTGCCAGGAGCCACTCTGAGCCCTGCAATTGTGTTTCCTTCAGCCAGGCATTTCCTGAGCCTTCTGAACATGGGGAACCGAGGGACTTTTGCCATTTTCTTCTGCATTTTCTGTGCTTGGCCAAAGCCCTGACATCTCCCACCCAGGCAGAGCCTTGGTCCTGCTCCTGCACCACCAGCAGCTCCACATGGAATTGTTTCCCAGCTGCTCTGCTGCACGTGCACCAAACTCTTTTAGGCATTTTAAATGGTGTAAAATGAGAATTAAACCCTCTGCTTCAGCTGGGAGTTCTCCTGGCTGTGCAAGGTCAGGTCACCCCACAGGGCTCCACTCTTGGGCTCTCCATTCCTCGGAGGGGAGCAGCAAACAACACAGAGGAACATTTACTGGGAATCTGATTATTTTACAGCTCTTAAAGATCCCTTGACTCCAACTCCTTTTGTCCTGAGAGCAACAGCAGCTTTCACAGAACCCCAGACTGGGCTGGCTGGGAAGGGACCCCAAATCCCCCCATCCCACCCCAGCCATGGCAGGGACACCTTCCCCTGTCCCAGCTGCTCCAGCCCCAATGTCCAGCCTGGCCTTGGGCACTGCCAGGGATCCAGGGGCAGCCCCAGCTGCTCTGGGTACCTGTGCCAGGGCCTGCCCACCCTGCCAGGAACAATTCCTGCCCAAAATCCCATCTAAACTTACTCAGTTTGAAGTCCTTCCCTTTTCCTGGAAACCTTATCTGGTTTCCCAAGATAACCAAGGAATGGCCATGGCATTGGAGGTCTGGAATAAATCCTGATTTAATCCCAGCCTTGAGCAGAGCAGAGGAAATCAGGATCCTGGTGACAGCGATCCCTGTGTTCCTATTCCACATTTTGCTGATCCCAAAGGCCTGTTGTGGTGTATTTATGCTTTAAAAGTGAAGGTGGAGGTTTCACTGATAGCAAACCACATCCTTCCCTCCCATTGTGCTGTTCCTCTTTCCCTGTTCTCCCTCAGCATTCCAGCTGCTTCCACATGCAGATCCAGCTCTCCCCTGGAGCTGGGAAAAACTTTTCAGGTGCAGCTCTTTCATTTGGCAAAAACCATTTGGGGCAGGCAAAGCTGTTTAAAAATTCAAATGAGGTTTTCAAATGTGTTTTTTTAGCTCAGGAATTCGGAAACATTTCCTGAAACACAGGGGTTGGTTCTCAGAGACTGGAAATGAATTCCGGATGAAAGCGAAGCGAGGAGAAAAAAGACCCCTTTTAACACAAAACATGTTTTGAAAATTACCATTTCAGGGCATGAAATTGTGTTGCATTTGATCTGAAGTTAATGAGGTCTGCTCAGGTACGCAGCTGCCACAGAGTCCTGGAATCCCAGGATCATTCAGGTTGGAAAACAGCTCCAGGATCCAAGCTGTGCCCATCCACTGAGTGCCACCTCCAGGAATTCCTTGGGCATCTCGGGGATGGGCACTGCAACCCTCCCTGGGCAAACAGGACTGCAAACACTGCCCGGCCTGAGCAGGAAAAGATCCCAAAAGGAGGTGCCTGGAGGAGCTCCCTCGCTGCTGGAGGCTGTGGCTGGTCCAGCTGCAGCTCCAGCCCATTCCCTGCTCCCTGTGCATGGACAGCATTCCCAGGGCTGGGAGCACACCCCCTATCCCCAGCAGAACCGGGGGTGGCAGAGCTTTTAGAGCAAGGACAGAATTCCTGAGCTGGCTGTGCCCCCTGTGCTGGAGCAGCGCCGGGAGCGGTTCAGGGCACAGAGGATCGGTGCCAGCCCTGGGGAATGGCTCTGCCAGCCTGGACATCCCCTAAAAGGGGGATAAAGGACTGGAATGGCCCTCCTGGGCAGTGGTGGAGCCACCATCCCTGGCTGTGGTTAAAACAATCTGGGAGTGGCACTCGGTGCCATGGGCTGCTTGAGGTGCTGGGGCTGGGTGGGACTCGATGATCTTGGAGGTCTCTTCCAACCTGGTGATTCTGTGGGTCTGTGGTTCCATGGTTGTGTGATTCTGTGGTTCCGTGAGGCTGTGGGTCTGTGGTTTTGTGATTCCGTGGATCTGTGACTCCATGATTCCATGGCTCTGTGACTCCATGGTTCCCTGGCTCTGTGATTCCGTGGATCTGTGACTCCATGGTTCCATGGCTCTGTGATCCCATGGTTCCATGGCTCTGTGATTCCCTGGCTCTGTGATTCCGTGGTTCCCTGGCTCTGTGATTCCATGGTTCCATGGCTCTGTGGTTCCATGGCTCTGTGATTCCCTGGCTCTGTGATTCCATGGTTCCATGGCTCTGTGATTCCATGGTTCCCTGGCTCTGTGGTTCCATGGCTCTGTGATTCCATGGTTCTGTAAAATCCCCTGAGAGAGGCCGGGCAGAGCCAGGGAGGGAAGGAGCCACAGAGCTGAATCTGATCCATCCCAAACCCGAGGGCACTTCCATCCTTGCCCCACATAAACATCGATTTTTTTATTCTTTTATTCAAGCCTTTAAGCCTTGTCTCCTCCTCTCTTTTTTTAATTTAACGTTTGTGTAAAGATTTCCATTTGCACAGCCTTTGGGGGAATTCTTGGAGGGAATTGGAAGGGTTGCAGACCTGGCAAAGATACAAAACCTGATTATTGTGTTGATTGAGGGGCAGATTCTGCTGGATCCTCTCTCTGAACGATGTGATTGTGTTGCCTGGGACTTGGAAAATTCATTAATATTAAACTTGCCATACCTACAACTCTTTACAAATAACGTGACAACTTTCTCAGGGAAAAAGATGCTTAGTTACAAAAAAGGGAGAAACTTTTCTCCTCAGGATGGCCACTTCTAAACACATAAAGTCTTGTAAAATCAGAATATTCAGTGCTAAATACGCTGCTGAGGGTGTTGATATGAAAATCTGCCAGAAAAGAAAATAAAACATGGTATGAAGGTCTCACAGGGGTAGTAAAAGAGCATTAAATACTCAGGAGAACATAAAAAATATAAAGCAATAAAAAGGAATTTACCTTTTAGGTGAAGTAAGAAAGGATCCTCCTAAAGTAGAATAGTAGAAAATATAAATGTAATAAATATAAATGTAATAAATACATATACAATGTAATACAATGTAATACAATGTAATACAATGTAATACGATGTAAAAATAATGTAATACAATGTAAAACAATGCAATGCAATGTAAAACAATGCAATGCAATGTAAAAATAATGTAATACAATTATATATAATGTAATATATAATTAATATGCTATAATATTTTATAATATATTATAATATACTATAGTATACTAGAGTACAATATATATAATATATATAATATAATAAATATGTATATATAATAGAAATATAAATAAAGTCCAGTTTTTAAGCTAAACTAGTAGGAACATTAATAAATAATAAAGAAACCAACAGTAATAAATACCTAAACAGAAATGGTATTAAATGGTATTTTCCTGGTCTTAAATAGCTTTTTTTTGCCCTTTTATCTTGTTTGAAGCTGTCAATAAACCAGAATATCACCCAGAGGTGTTTTGATCCCATTTAATTCCCTTTTTTTTAGGCTTCAGCAAGCAGATGGTGGAAATCCTGACCAAGCACGGCGTCGCCTTCAGCAGCTTCGATATTTTCTCAGACGAGGAGGTTCGGCAGGGGCTGAAAACTTTCTCCAACTGGCCAACCTACCCTCAGCTCTACGTGTCTGGGGAGCTCATCGGGGGCCTGGACATCATCAAGGTCACTCTGCAGTTCTCCCACCTTTCTGCATTGCCATAAATGCCTTCTTCTTGCTTTTCAAGGTCACTGTGCAATTCTCTCACCTTTCTGCATTGCCATAAATGCCTTGTTTTGCTTTTCAATGTCAGTGCAATTCTCTCACCTTTCTGCATTGCCATAAATGCCTTGTTTTGCTTTTCAAGGTCACTCTGTGCAATTCTCCCACCTTTCTGCTTTGCCATAAATGCCTTTTTTTGCTTTTCAAGGTCACTCTGTGCAATTCTCCCACCTTTCTGCATTGCCATAAATGCCTTTTTTTGCTTTTCAATGTCAGTGCAGTTCTCTCACCTTTCTGCATTGCCATAAATGCCTTTTTTTGCTTTTCCCACCTCATTTTTTGGCTTTTTCTCCCCTTCTAATTTCCTCAGGAGCTCGAGGCATCAGGAGAGCTGGACACAATCTGCCCAAAGGCCCAGAAGTTGGAGGACAGGTGGGTGAATTATAACAATTTTTGAGTTTTTTTTTTATTATGTTCAGATAGGAGAAACCCCCTGGAAATTCCTACTTTATTGGAAGCACCTCAAGAATTTATTGACTTACAGAATTCCTGCAGTTTTTCAATGTCTCTTGGGGTTTGTGCATTAAAGTCCAAGAGTCTTTACTTATATTTGTGGTTTAATTTCTGCTTATCTATTTATATATTTATACATCTGTTTTTATATGTATGTATCTATACATCTGTAGATGTATATATTTATATATGTCTATATATATATAAATATATATATTTATATATATATAAATAGATATATGTATATAAAATATCTATTTATATATTTATTTTTGTGTGTAGCTATTTATATAGTTATATAGTTTATATAGTTATAAATTATCTATATTTTTATATAGCTACTTATATATCTATTCATATATTTTATATCTATATATCTATATTGTTATAAATAGATATTTATATACTTATCTCTATACTGACAGAAATTATTTGTATCTATATGAAGATAAAAATTATATTAACATAAATTATATATCATTACATTAATAAATATTTTATATTATATTAATATATATTGTATATATAATTTTTGTATCTATATATTTTTATTTATGTATCTGTTTATTTATGTGTATATCTATTTATATAGATGTATCCACATATTTATAGATCTATACTTATATATCTATGTATTTTTAAATCTATATATTTCTATTTATATATCTGTATATATTTACTTAAATATATATAGATATAGATAGATATATATAGATTTATATATATAAATATAGATGTAGATAGATTCCTTCTTGTCTCATTTTAAGAATTTATTCTTTGAGAATAACTGGGAAAATCATCTTTTTAAGCTTTTTCCAGCTTTATTTGCCACAGATTTCCCAGCTCTGGTGTCCCTGCCTGGTTCTTCTCCCTCCTCAGTGCAGAAAGAATTTAATAAATCCCATTTCAAAGTGGTGATTAATAATAATCCCATCATTCTAAATTTTAGGGATTTATTCATTCCTTCCAAATTTGTCCTGTGCCTTGGGTTCCTTTACTTTGCAATTCTTCCCCTGAGGGCACAAACCCCAATTAATGCTTTTAGCAGAGATTAAATTGCAGATAACAGTGAGATGGGCTCATCTTTAAAAACTTACTTTTTGTGGCCTCTAAAAACTTATTTTTTTAAAGCCTTTTAGCCCCTTCCTGTGCTGTTTAAGGATTTTATTAAGAAATTCAACATTTTCTGGCCAGTTCTGGATGGAAGTTTGCAAATTGCACAAGCAGTAACTCCATTTAAATGGAATTTTTTCGCTCTGCACAAACTTTTTAGGGAAAGAAGGGAATGGGAAATGTTCCTCTGCTTCCCAAAAGGTTTTAAGGGTCCCTTAAAAAAAACCTTCCCAAGTTTTTTTTAGGTTAAAACACTCCATGAAATGTGTTTTTAAGGAGCTGCTTGGGGAAGTTTTAGGGATGTTTTTAACCAACCTGAGATGGATTCCTGCTGGGAATGGGATTCTCTCCCGACCCATCCAATGGGGAATTCTTGGAGATTCATCCATTTATTCATTTCCACTTCTGCATTTTGTCTGGGGTGATAACCAAGGTATTTTCTGTCTTTTTGTAGGCTTAAATCCTTGATAAACAAAGCTCCTGTCATGCTCTTTATGAAGGGAAACAAACAGGTAAAGTGGAGTGCTCCAGGAAATATTGAATTTTCACCTTGTTCTTCCTTGATTCAAATCACTGCTGCTTTTATTTGATGCTTCTATAAACCACAGAACAGCCCCTGTTTTTATTATTGCTGAATAGTACCTAAATATTAGATATTTCTATTAATATCTATTAATATAGATAATAACACCTGTTAATATCTAAAAATTGCTGGGTGGTTTTTGTCCTTCCGTGAAGAGTTGGCAGTGGATGTTAATTATTCATTATAATTAATTATAATGATAATAAATAGAACAAGCTGCTGTTTTGTTTGTTAGTTTATTGTTATGGTGAATCAAGGCAGTGATGCCTCAAAATAAAGCAGATTTATTCCCATAAATCCATAAAAATCATGACATAAAGGATGGAAAAGGGATTAAGGAATGACTCATCCAGCAAAAAAAAATTGGGAATTGCTGTAGTGTAGCTGGAATTCCATGGATTAAAAAAAGCAGAGACCTTTGAACATTTGTATTTTACATTTTAGATGGCAAAATGTGGCTTCAGCAAGCAAATCCTAGAAATCATGAATAACACTGGGTAGGTCACGGGCTTTGAGTTTGGGGTTCAAAACTGCATTTTATGGCAAATATATTAGAAAATGTGTGTGGAATTATTCCCCAAATGTAAGTTTTTCTTTTTAAGTAAAATTGAAGGGTTTTCTGAGAATTTTAATGGGTTTTTTTATAAATTATTGAGGAGTTTTTTGATAATTTTGAGGATTCTTTCAGTATTTTTTTGAGAATTTTGAAGGGATCTTGACAATTTTGAGGGATTCTGATAGAATTTGGAGGAATTTTTGAAAATTTTTGAGCGTTTTTGGTGAGAATTTTGAGTGTTTTCAAGATTTTTGAGTGTTTTTGCAAGATTTTGGGGTTTCTCTGTGAGAATTTTGAGGGGATTTTATGGGACTTTTCAGGGTTTTTGTGATAATTTTGAGAGGTTTTGAGTATTTTTAAGGTCTTTAAAAAATCTTGATGTTTTGAGACTCTTGAGGGTTTTTTGAGACTTTTGAGGGGTTTTTTTTTGATACTTAGGAGAGATTTCTTTTGAGAATTTTTAGGGTTTTTTTTGAAAATTTTGAGAGTTTTTAAAAAACCTTGATATTTTAGAACTTGGAGTGGTAATTTGAGTATTTTGAAGGCTCTTCGAGAATTTTTTTAGCATTTGGGGGGTTTTTTAAAAGAATCTCGAGGCTTTAAAAATTTTCTTGGAGCATTTTGAGACATTCCTTTGCAAATTTGGGGGTTTTTTGCTGTTTTTTTCAGCATTTCTTCACATCTCCCCTGTCATTAATATGAATATTCTCATTTTTTCCCCTCTCCTCAGCGTGGATTACGAGACTTTTGACATCCTGGAGGACGAGGAGGTAACAGAAGCTCCCTAGCCCTGGGGGTTCATTTCCCTGCTGCCTTTTCCTGAGCTGAAATTCCCAATTCCCAATTCCCATTTCATTTTCCAGGTGCGCCAAGGCCTGAAATCCTTTTCCAACTGGCCCACGTACCCGCAGCTCTACGTCAAGGGGGAGCTGGTTGGGGGGCTGGACATTGTCAAGGTAGGAATTGGATTTATTTGCAATAAAAACTCAATTTATAGGAATTTTCTTGCCTGTCTCCCACTGAATTCCTGTGCTTTTCCAGGAAAAAGTCCATTTTTACCCCTTTTTTTTTTGCACTTCTCTCGTCCTTAATCTTGCTCCTGATGTTGGTATTTTTTCCCAGAAAACATTCCTGGGAAAAAGGGAATTTTATTGGAATTGTTGGAGCAGCCCCAGGGTTCCCAAATCCTCCTGAGCCCATTCCTGCCTGAAGGCTCAATCAATAAATCCCATTTAATTCTAAAAAATACTGGTACCACTTAAATTCCAGAGATTTGTTTGATTTATTTCAGAAGTGTGAGGATTGTTTCAATTCCATAGACTCATTTTATTTATGTAGATTAATGTTACTTAAAGTATATGGGTTAATTTTGTTTACAAAGATTAATGTTACTTAAATTACATAATTTTCTTTTATTTATAAAAATTACTTCAATTACATAGATTAATTTTACTTATATAGATTAATTTTACTTAAATAGATTTTTATTAGTTTAATAAGGGTAGGGATTGCTTCAATTATTATATCAATTTATTATTTAAATTATTATATTAAATTATTATATTAATTAATAATATTTTTATTTATATAGATTATTTTTACCTAATTTCTATACATTAAATTTCTGTATATAGATTAATTTAAATGATATAGATTAATTCTATTTCTGTAGATTAATTTCACTTCAAGTATGCAGGTTAATTTTATTTATTTAACAAGTGTAGAGATTGCTTTACTTGTATTGATTAATTTTATTTATAGAGATTAATTTTATTTATAGAGATTAATTTTATTTATAGAGATTAATTTTACTTAAATTATGTAGATTACTTCTGTTTATTTAACAAGTATAGGGATTGCTTCAATTACACAGATTAATTTTGCTTACATTTTATAGATTAACTTTATTTATAGATTTATTTTAGTTATTTATTTAGGGGATTAAATAAATAAAATGAGATAATTGCAGAAGTGAGGGGGCTTTTTGGGTGCTCAGGAATGGGAGATGTTGTAAAATCCTTTTTTCTCTGGTATTCCAGTGTAATTCCTCCCTTTGCATCCTTGTGCTGTTTGAATTCACCCTGATGTACAGGAATACTGTCACTGGTTTAAATCTCATTTTTTAATAGGGAATAAAAGAAGGGAGAGTTGTTTATTCCAAGATGTGGGAAAAGGAGAATATCCCTCCTTGTTTTCCAGGCCTTTCCTGGTGTTCTTGGCCAGTTCCCAGCCCTGTAATTTGAATTTCAGTCCCCAGGGTGTGCTGGGCTGGCACCTCTTGCTCAGAATCCACAGGAAATTTTATTTTCTGGTTGGGTTTTATGGATGGGAGGCACAAAATCCATCCAGGGATGGCGTTTCCTCCTTTGGGGTTTGAAAGTTTTGTGGGAGCCTGGAATGGGTCTGGAATTCCAGCTGGGAGGAGATCCAGGAATACCAACCAGAACTTTCAAGGTGGGATTTTCCACTTCAGAATTTTGTCTTTTTTACTAAATACACCCAAACCAGAATTTATATATCAATAAATATAATATATGAAATATAAATGTAATATAAATTACTTCATAAACCTCAGAGTGGTGGCCAAGAGGGACCTCTAGAGAGGCATCAATGCATTCCCTGCTGCCAGGGACTATTTCCCGATGGAATCCTGTTGGATAATCCCAAAAAACTCCCTCATTGCTGCATTTCTGTCTTTCAGGAGCTGAAGGAAAGTGGGGAATTGCTGCCTGTGCTGAAGGGGGAGAACTAATGGGGAGGACATCAGTGGGAAGAGAAATCCCTGGAACAGCTTTCCAGTTGGAGATTGTCCTGGAGAAGTAACCTCAGCCCTGAGGAGCAGCAGGAGGGAAAACAGACAGGAAATAAATATAAATATTCTCTGTATTTCACCTGTATGACAAGGGGTTTCGCTGGAGACAAAAAGGTCAATTAAAATCCAGTGCTCCAGGATCTGGGCTGTTGGGATTTCATTATTTGCACCCCAGAATTATTCTGTCCATCCCAGAATTATTGAAGGTGAAATTTGCAACTTGGGTTTTTTTTTTTTGGGCTCGGTTCTGACTGGGGTAATATTAATGGAGCATCATCTTTTCCTGCCCCTCTTAATTACTCCCATGTCTAATGAACAGGAAAATCACCCAGCATGGCTTTAGGGAGTTATTAATGAGCTGCAGCTCATTTGCCCTCTGCAAACTCGTTAATTGCTAATTTGGGGTGCTCAGGCAGGAGCATTTTGGGAATGTTTAGGTGGTTTTGGAAGGGTTGGGGAATCCCCAGGGATCCTTCAGGGATGTGGAAAGGTTTCCTGGGATCCTTCCTGCATCCAGGGGATTTCATTTGGCTTCAGTGCTCGTGAGGCTGGGTGAAGTCCAAGGGCACAGAATCCTTGGAGAAGTCTGTCCTTGTCCTTGTCCTTGTCCTTGGCTGACTTTCCAGGAGTGCCTGCAGGAGGAGGTGACAGCGAGCTGCAGAGCTCCAGGCAGCAGCTTGGAAAGTTTTGGGAGCAACTCTGGGCTTTTTTTTTTCCCCCTAAATTCTAAATTATGAATTCTAAATTAAGTCTCAGAACCCAAAGTGAAAGTGGTGTTGAGGCTCATCCCAGCCTGGAGAAGCTTGGATGAGGGAAGCAGGACCTGCCACGTGTTAGAGGATTCCTAGGGATGGATATTAAATTTTCTAGGATTAGTTTCAGTAATTGCTATCAAATATATGTTATAACTTTAAACCTGATTTTAATTGCTCCAAAAAAAAAAAATCCTTGTCATGAAAACAAGCCTTAATTAATCCTCTTAAGTGAATTGCAAATGCATTCAGGTAGTTGTCAGTAGGAAAAGAATAATTTATTACAGCAAAACGTAGCATCCCTGTGGTGAAATAAGGAGTTAGAAGCTTTAATTAAATACTAAATACCAAATGCTATTTAGTTTTCCTTCAGAATTCCGTGTAGTGGAATTTATTTGGGCTTTATGGAGTCCTGTTAATGGATTTATAGACAACAGAGCAGCAGGGAATAGCAGCTGATTGCTGACAATTTCTATTTTTATTTATTCCAGGAGTGGAATTGGGCAGGAATTGTTCCCTGGGAGGGAGGTGAGGGCCTGGCACGGGGTGCCTGGAGCAGCTGTGGCTGTATTTGTATTTCCCAACTTATTCTGCAATATTTCCCTTGTTTGTCCCAACTTTTCAGCTGGATTATTTTTCCCTGCGCTTAAATGTTGGAATATTAGGGAAAAAAAAACCCCAAACTATTCCTGAGGGTGATGAAGAGAGGAACAGTCAGTGCTTAAACCCCGTGTGCTATTAAATAAATTAAATAACTTCATTTGTCACCTCCTCAGTGCCAGGGATGAAAAAATCCCTTCAAACCTCCATGAAATATTCCAGGTTTTAGAGGGAAGTGTCACCTGGCTGAGGGCAGGGATGCAATACCTGGGATTTAAATGAAAATTTAAATTTAATTTAAATTAACCTGCCTGAGTGTGAACATCCATCGAGGGCTTCTGCCTGTGAACATCCATCGAGGGCTTCTGCCAGGCCAAGGAGAAATTTGGGTTAGTTAATTATGTTAATTAGGGGAGCATTTTTTGGGGAAATTTGGGTTAGTTAATGATGTTAATTAGGGGAGCATTTTGTGGGGAAATTTGGGGATTTCATTTCATGGGGCTGAGACAAAAGGGGAGGGAAAAGGGATTTGTTTTTCCTTCAGGTTGTAGTTGCAGATGAGATCTGGGAGATGTGAAGGACGGTCAGGGGGACATGGGGTTAAAGGAGCTTTTTTGGGGTTAAAGGAGCTTTTTTGGGGTTAAAGGAGCTTTTTTGGGGTTAAAGGAGTTTTATTGGGGGTTAAAGGAACTTTGTTGAGGGTTAAAGGAGGTTTTTTTGGGGTTAAAGGAAGTTTATTTGGGTTAAAGGAACTTTATTGGGGGTTAAAGGAGCTTTATTGGGGGTTAAAGGGGCTTTATTGGGGTTAAAGGAGCTTTATTGAGGGTTAAAGGAGCTTTATTGGGGTTAAAGGAGCTTTATTGAGGGTTAAAGGAGCTTTTTTGGGGTTAAAGAAACTTTATTTTAGGGTTAAAGGAGCTTTTTGGGGGTTAAAGGAGCTTTTTTGGGGGTTAAAGGAACTTTATTTGGATTAAAGGAACTTTTTTGGGGTTAAAGAAACTTTATTTTAGGGTTAAAGGAGGTTTTTTTGGGGTTAAAGGAGCTTTTTTTGGGTTAAAGGAGCTTTTTTGGGGGTTAAAGGAACTTTATTGGGGGTTAAAGGAGCTTTATTGGGGATTAAAGGAACTTTATTTGGGTTAAAGGAACTTTTTTGGGGTTAAAGAAACTATTTTAGGGTTAAAGGAGCTTTTTGGGGGTTAAAGGAGCTTTTTTGGGATTAAAGGAGCTTTTTTTTGGGTTAAAGGAGCTTTTTGGGGGGTTAAAGGAGCTTTTTGGGGGGTTAAAGGAACTTTATGGGGGTTAAAGGAACTTTATTGGGGTTAAAGAAACTTTAGGGTTAAAGGAGGTTTTTTTGGGGTTAAAGGAGCTTTTTTGGGGGGTTAAGGGACCTTTTTTGGGATTTAAGGAGCATTTTTTGGCTCATCTGTGACTCCCTCGTGCCCAGGGGTGTCCCTGGTGTCACTGGGGCAGGTCCGTGTCCCTTCCCGAGCCGGGAAAACTCCTGGAAGAGAATTAAAAACGCGAGGAGAGGGATGTGAGAGATGTTTCCACATCCTTCATGGGAAACCCCACTTTTCCCAAAAATCCCGGAATTCCCGGAGCTTCTCCAGGGAAGAGCCGCTCGTGGGCGGCCAGGAGGGAATTCCAGCCGGGATGCGGAGGGGAAGCCGCCCTGCTCCCGGTGAGGCCGGGGGAAGGCAGGGACGGGATGGAGTTCGGGATTTGAGAGAAAATTCCAGCCCGGGGATTTTCCTGCCGGCAGCAGCGCCGGGAACGGCCACGGGGCGGTGCTGGGTACCAGGGAGAGAGGGATGGAGGGGGAGAGAGGGATGGAGGGGGAGAGGGATGGAGGGCAGAGAGGGAGAGAGGGATGGAGGGGAGAGAGGGATGGAGGGGAGAGAGGGATGGAGGGGAGAGAGG